TCATTGGTGCATCGCATGTCCAGGTGGGTCCAGCTGATCTGGCCATTGACCTTCCTGCAGGTGCTGGTGCCAGAGCTGGGGCCTCTCTGCTCATAACCTCTCTGGCACTTGAAGTGCAGGACTTGTCCCACGAAATAACGTCCTTTCTTCCTTAAGAAGGCATGTGGGAAAGTCCTGGGAGGACCACAAAAATCTGTGGGATCACACAGCAGCACACGGTTAAAGTGGATTTTACCTACTGCTTTTGGTCTTGAAAATCAGGATTTGTATTCTCACAGAACACAGACACACAGGTGTAACCCCAGGAGCACCAAACCCCACAGAGCCACTCACTCACTGCCCACGGTGGGATGGGGGAGAGAGTCAGAAGGGAAAAGCTCGAAACACTCATGGGTTGAGATAAAGACAGTTTGACAGGGAAAGGAAAAGCTGCACTCACAAGCAAAGCAAAACAAGGAATGCTCCCCACGGGCAGGACATGTTCAACACCTCCCTAGCCCCTGGGAGGAAAGGGAACTCTCCCCAGCCCAGCCCAGCACACCTGAGACTTCCTAATTCTTGGGTAGGACATGCTATACTCATTTGCTTACACCACATCACTTGTTCAGCCATAATCCTATAGCAATTGTTCCTTTCTCTCTGCCTGCAGAACAATTAAACAGTGCTCATCATTCTCACACTGCCTCCATGGAAATCACTGGGGGAATGGTACAGGATTGAACAGGCTCCTACTTACCTTTCTGGTCAAACTCTGGAGGGTTTTCCTGCTCCTGGGGTGGAGGGCTCTGTGGTTTTCTCTCAGGCCTCTGTGTAACATGCAAGTCCATTGCAGGAGCCATTGACAACAAAATTTTGTTTTCTGTGGGAGAACTACATTGGCTGAATTATAGCAGGACAAACCTCAGAGCAAAGCCAGAGCACCCAAATTTTAGAGGTGGGACAGAACTGTTGCAAGCTTTGACTTGCAAGGTAAGCACAAAAAATCACCTGCTAATGCCCAGGTGTGTCTTACACTGAATAACTCCTTGGAAAAACACCTCCACAAGTGCAGAGCAACAACCACTTACCAATGCACTTAAATTCTGGGTATTTCCAGGACGTGCCCTGCTTGTCCCTCTGACACAGAACTCCCATGTACCGGCCACCTTTCCTTCCATAGCCACTGTCACAGTCATAGTACAGTATGGTCTCCAGTGGATATCTTTCCGCAGTAACATCAGCAAACTCGATCCTTGGAAGAGCTGGGCATCCTTCTGCAAACAGAGAGCCTGGGAATCAGGGCAGGCTTCCTTCCACCTCAGGCACTGAGGGCTTGCACACCTTTCTGTCTCCCCAACGTGCCCAGCAGATGGGCAACATGAAGCTCTGACAGCATGTCCTTGATGGGGCTGGACACAACCACGTCGGAGAGCTCTGCCTGCAGCAGCTGTGCAGCTCTGAGCCTGTGGACTGAGGCTCAACTAGCAAAGCTAAGTCAGTACAACTTACAATCATCTGTAAGCAAACACTGGGAAGAGGAGTAGGCTCTCAGTTCTGTCTGAGCACACCAAAGAGCAGCTTGCTGTGAAATTAGCTTGCAAACCTAAATATAACTTGTCCCAAAACAAGGATGTGAAATGCTGTGTCATCAGCAAGACACATCAGCTGGGATGAATTAAGCTGGATCAAGTCAGAGTACTTGGAAAGCCCACTGAAGCTGAGCTGGAGACGCAGAAGATGATCAAGGCACCACTTAATGATGACTTGAGGCCTACAGAGTGAGAAATTACAAGACAAAACAGGCTGGTTGGGTCAGGGCTGGCACTTGAGATCTTTGAGTGCATGATCTGTGGCCCTTTATGCTCATACACATTGAGTAACAGCTCTCAGTCACTGTGTCTTCACACCTTCTGCAGTCACACTGCAGCTCTAGCAGCTGGTGAGAATGGCTAGGAGAGGCCCTGGAATCCCTGAGAGCTCTTCAGCACTTGGTGTCTGCCTTGGCTCCCTAGGTGCCTTCTCCTCGAAAGACCAACCAAGCAGTGACTCCCAGCCCAGCCCTGCCATGCCCTTTGCTTTCAGGGCCATCCATCGTTTCCTCACCTTGGTATTTTCTGCTCTTTTTGCTTTCATTATCTTGCTGCTTAGCAAGAGTCACAAAGTTTGAAGAAGGCACCAGTGCAAAGTATGTGAGTGGCATAACAGCAAATCTGCACAAGGGATGATTTAATCCCCTTGTACCTTTGTGCTATCAAAGGATTCAAACCTCATCAGGCTGTGGCTTTGAACGAAGCGACTGCACCCGAAATAGTTAACCACATGGTTTACCACAGACTGTCAGGGTGATTAAAATTAAAGAGTTGTCAGATTAGCAGCAAGATGAGACCATGTAGTCTCACTTTCCCTGAAAGCTCAAAGCCTGTTTCCCTCAAGACTTCAAAAGGCTCTTTGAAGCAGACTGCAGATCTGAGCCTCAGCAGGAGGCACTGAACCTGCAGCTCCTTAGGCTCTTCTGAGGAAAACCCACAACATTTAACCTACCCATCATAAAGGGCAAGTTGTTTTAATTGATGATCAGATGAAGTTTGGGCTGTTGCAGACATCAGACAAGGATCCTGTGGAAATGGTGCACATGGGACATGAGGACCAAAGCCCAGACCAGGGGGGATTGACTAGTCCACAACACTTCTAGGATTCAGCCCTTTCACTACATCCACATTGCTCAGGTCTTGTCTTCTCACATCTCAACAACTGCAGTACCTACTTCTTTGGTCATTACAACCATTTTCCAGTCTCTGATCCAGAAAGCATTTGGAAAGCTGAATTTCCTAGGTCTCATTGTGACCTTCTGCTTATTTCCCTCTGGTTTCCAACTGCTTCACTCTCACGTCAAATATTTTGCTCACATTTTCAAGAACCTTCTCCTTATCAACCTCCATAACCCTTCAAAACATCATCTCTTCCCATACTAGATTCCTCACCAGCACCGTTTGAGATCAAAGGAATCAACTTTTGTGTGGATTGTTGTCCCAGCACTGGGAGGTGATCTGAAACCCACGAGCTAAATCAGCATCAGTTCTGTCAGCGCTTGGGTTTCTTCCCCAAGGTTTCCCCTTCAAACATGTTACTGACCCAACCACAAACTGCCCTTGGCAGATGTGCTGGCTGTGTTTGGATGTGTGAAGCTCTCCTGCCTGTTTCTCTTCCATGGCTGATGTGGCAGAGCAGTGTTGGATGAGGCAGCAGAACAACACTTTATGTCCATAAGAAGTGAATGGATGAAATTGCTAACAGGTATTTTTAGTGCCAGGTAAAACACAGACAGTGAGTCATGCCACAATCACCTAAACTCAGAATTTCCTCTGTCGTGTGGCACCAGTTCTGGCATTATTCTGGTGTCAAGTTAAAACAGCAAGGTGTGAAACCAGGACGGTTTGCCCTCAGACACAAGGGCAGTAAGACAGGGCTGGTAGGAAACTGGGTGTTCTGAAGACCTGGGCAGAAGCAGTGGAACAAACCTGGCACTGCACACACCTGCCAGTTCAGAGATGAGGAGAACCTCTCCCCAGAGACACCAAGAAATCCGAGGAGGCCAAAATGAAGACACTCCCCCAGATATGCCCAAAAGCTAAACCATCCCTGGGGATTCGTGTGCTGTCTGAAGCTGTGAGCTCTCCAAACGGTACGTGTCCCTTGAAGATGGAACTGGTCTGGCTGAAGGGAAGGAATTGATACCAACAGCTGGACTGAAATGGTAATGAACATCTCTCTTCAAAACTTACTCCCACAGGGTCTGTTAGCAAGCAAACCTCAGCTCTGCAGGATTCCCTCCACTCCTGTCAGTGCCATCTATTGTCTCTTTGTGAGCTGGAACAGAGCCCAGCTGTGGGGTGGGGGCACCGACCTGCAGCTCATGGTGATTTGTCTGGGGGATTTTAATCAGTTATACTGTAGATTGCACAGAGATTACTTTGCAAAATCATCTGGGTGGTAGTGAGTCTGCAGGGCAAGTGGCAGAAATGCAGTGAAGAGGAAATGGTCAGGCAGAAGTTTTAATGCAAACAGTGCTGGAGGAGAGATCGGGAGATGGGGCAGCAAATGGAGCAGCAGATGGGGCAGGAGGTGGAGTAGGAGATGAGGCAGGAGATGGGGCAGGAGATGGAGCAGGAGATGGAGCAGGAGATGGGGCAGGAGATGGAGCAGCAGATGGGGCTGTGTGTCCCCAGCAGTGGAGATGAGGCCTGCTGAGCCTGCTGTGCAAGGAGATGTCTTTGTGGAAAGACAACATAAAATGACCTAGAACATGAAGTGGCAGGAGATGTGCATTAACTCTTTGCACCACCATAGGAAACTAGGTCTGGGAGAAATGCACCTCTCTTGTCTCTTGCCTCAGTCCTGCTGAGCAGCTCTTTGCCATTGGCCTAGGAAGTAGAACCCAAATTCCATACACAGCAAGGCCAGAGTTGGTCGGACAGTGAACTAAGCTGTCTCATGCTAAGCATAATTTAGCCTCAGGAATTCCCTTCTTAGCTCATTCTGCAAGAAGTGGAGCTGGGCAGACCTCTCTAGAGGTGAGCAGACACCTAACTTCAGTTCTCCAGAGCAAAGCTTAAAGGTTCTTCTCTCTTTTGTCAGTTGCAGTGGTGGAGGAACACTCTTACATGCTTTCATTGACACCAGAGTGGTTTCCTAGTGCCTTGAGGAATGCCCTGGCTGCCCTGGCAGGGAGGCTGGAGACCTGCACTGCAGATGTGGATTTGGAAGAGGGAACATTAGGAAACAGGGAAGGTGCTCCCAAGGCAGGGAGAGGGAGGAGGACTAGCCTGAGCACAGTGCTCTGAGGAGAAAATGTACAAAGGGAAGAATGTGGAACATTTGTTTTGGATTCTGGGTGTTAATAACCTACCTGGTTCTGTGGTAAAGCCACAGAGCTCAAACCCTTTCAAGGCAACCACGGCACAAGGTTTGGTAGGAGAACAGAGTTGGGTTTTGTCTTGGTGAGTGACACTTGGGGTTTGAATAGGTTTGGCTACAGTTTTGCCTAAATCTGGGACTTCAATCACATCTGCCTTTTTGGTGTGTCATCTATAAGGGAAACCAAATGACTGAGGAGGAAAATTGGCTTTTTAAAGAGCAGCAGAGATTCAGGTCTTTTTCTTTGTCTGGAGCATTCTCAGCCTTGTCTTTTGTGGGGCTGAAAGGGCAGTAGGGAATATCCTCCCTGAAAATAGTTGAACAGGATGACAAGTGTATGTCCCAGTCTTGGGTAACAGTGGTGGGACTCTTCTAATTTCAACTGTGGCTTTAGGACTCACTTCATTTGACTTGTGGCCTTAGAATGGTCATGGAGGTTTTTGCTGGAGCTCTCAAGAGCGCGACGGAAATTTTCTGTACGTGTTGATGATTTTTCTGACCTTATCGTGCATGAAATATTTTTCCCACACAAAGAGAACTTTATATTCTTTATCTGGGGGCTCACACTTTACAGATGGAGAATACAAAGGAAAAGCAGCAGGTGACAAAGTGCTGCTGCCCTGGCAGGGCTGAGGAACAGGGAGCCAATTGAAGACAGTCACGGAAGGACTGGAAATGTGAGTTTTTCAAACATTGGGAGAGTCACTGAAAATAATTACAGGAAGCTGAGGAAAGAAGAGCTTAGTGATACAGTGAAGAATGCAATGCTAGGCATTTATCCATTCCCCAAGAAACTAAAACACATGAAATAGCACAAAATGCAACTGCTCTAACACCCATCGATCTCTTTTCAAAAAAACCAGATTTCTGATAAACAAGGCTTGCCAGCAAGAAATTTCAGAACTTGTTCCAGGCACAGTAATACAGAGAGTGTGATGCTGAGGACCTGACTCATCCCGAACCGACCCTGCTGACACATCTCTGGCTGAACTGCTCAGTGCTGCTCCCGGTGCTGCTCCCTGTGCTGCTCTAACACCCATCGATCTCTTTTCAAAAAAACCAGATTTCTGATAAACAAGGCTTGCCAGCAAGAAATTTCAGAACTTGTTCCAGGCACAGTAATACAGAGAGTGTGATGCTGAGGACCTGACTCATCCCGAACCGACCCTGCTGACACATCTCTGGCTGAACTGCTCAGTGCTGCTCCCGGTGCTGCTCCCTGTGCTGCTCCCGGTGCTGCTCCGCTCCCGCAGCGCTGCTCTTACACACAGCACTTCAGGCTTTGCCATGGGCACTGCCACTTCACTTGGCTGTGAACATGCCCCGTGAAGGGGAAGGTACAGCATTTATCGGCAAAACACTTTCGCGAGAAGCAAATCACCCTGGGTCCTTCCCGCATTAATGACTTTGGTCATTAGCAACGCGACTCTTCTCTTGAGATGCCCAGCCCTGAGTGAAATTGCCAGCGCTGCCAAAGATGATCCCTCAGCAGCTGCAGTACCAGCAGACCTGAGAACCTGCCTTAGGCTGTATGTGCTCATACCTCTCACGCTGGACAGCGTCATCACACAGAAGGAAACAGCACATTTATGAAGCACTGAGAATGGAAGGCTCTTTTCCCCTCTGAACAAAGCAGGTTGAATCTGAACACACTGATATATCCCCAGGCTGTTTGTCACGGTGAATAAGCCAAATGTAAGCAGCATAAATGTGTGAAGTGATGCTGAATGAATTTGCTGCCTCCATTCACAGCTTGTAGGCTGCAAGACATTTGGCATCTCTAGTACCCATAGCAAGTTGGGATGGTACCTCTGAACTAATAGCACTGCCATCAATTTTTCCTACAGAGGTACTGACACTTCAGGGTCTAATTTTACCTTTCCTAAAGTTACAAGCAAAAAGGAAAAAGCAAACTCAAACAGTTACCTCAGGCTGCTTTGTTCTGCCCACTGTTCCAGTGAAGGGTTGGAGGATACACACATAACTCAGACAAAAATATCCTGTCAAGCGCTGGATTTTTTGCCGTTGATGGTTTGTTTCTCTCATTTCCTTACAATAATAAATTCCTTAAGCTCTGAACACCTTTCCCTCCCTGAAAGCAGTCAGGGTGTTGTGAACATCCTTCAGAAGCCACCACAAAAAAAAACCCCAAACCAAATCATATTTTCCTTCCCCCAAAAGGCAGAAATAGTCTCTTACCTGCTTTGTGCCCCTTGATGGATCTAAGCAAGAGCCACATCAAAAGGCACTTGAGCTCCATGGGACTTGTTCACATCCTTTCTCCGCAGCACTGAGGATGGTGAAGTTCTCAGAAGTGATGAGTAGTGCCAACCAAGCCAAGGAGACATCTACTGCCTGGTTAGACCCGTGGTGAGCATGCCCTGCGTGCACAGTGAGGGCGCTGGGCAGTGAGGAGGCATTTCACTGGCTGACTCCCCAGGACAGTACAGAACAGAGGCTGCTTTCTGTTCTGCTATTAGTAGGTTTTATCCAGGAAATCGAGGTCGCTGCTCGGCGTGGCGCAGTGTGCCATCAGGGTAGGAAGTGGTTTGACACATCAGAGCTGCTGACTCCAGGGCTGTTCACGACGGCTGAGGTCAGCAGAAGGGACAGAGACTTTAATAGGCTTGTTCAGGGACTCTACCTCAAATCTGTGCCTGGATGAATGTTAGAGAGAGACCATCCCTGTGGAATCAGAGAATTTTGGGGGTGGAAAGGACCTTAGAGATCATCCAGCCCCAACCCCTGTCCTGGGCAGGACACCTCCCACCAGAGCAGGTTGCTCAAGGCTCATCCAACCTGGAATGAAACACTGCCAGGGTTGGGGCAGCCACAGCTCCCTGGGCAACCTGGGCCAGTGTCTCACCACCCTCACAGCAAAAACATCTGCCTAAGATCTAATCTAAATTTCACTCTGTCCATTTCTCTCCATTGCTCCTTGTCCTGTCCCTGCAGCTCCTAACACAGATCCCTCTGCAGCTTCCCTGGAGTCCCTTCAGCTCCTGGGAGTGCTCTGAGCTCTCCGTACAACCTTCTCCTCTCCAGGCTGGATAGTTGTCTGGTGTATGACAGTGGAGCTCAGGCACATCTATGGGCTCTGCTTGCAAAGAAAAGGTCCCATGGGGGAATGGTTTGGCTTTCCAGAGGTTTTTTTGCTAATGATGCTAAAGCCACACTCCATTTGGGTTTGATGTATGCAATCCTGCAGCTCAGCTAGTCCAGGTCCTGACAGACGATTCATGTTTGCAAGCTCAGCTTGGATGCAGATGTCAATTCTCAACAAGCTGATTTTCCCCTTTTGCTGCAAAAGGAAACATCTGTGCCTTTCCAGCAGGTGAGCTGAGCATTGCTCCCTCTCTAAAGCAGCAGATCTCGGTGTAGGTGGGTAACAGCTACAAAGATTTTACTAGAAACGGTGAGTTTTCACGCAGGAATGAGCACAGATTTGACAGTCAGCTGTCCTGGAGGGAGCGGCGACCACGGGCGGCTAATTGCAGCAGTTTGCATGAGAAAGACCTGCAACTCTGCACTTGGAGCTTGTAAAGGTCAGAGAACTACGGCTGCAGCTAGTGAGGAGCTGGTCAGGCTGGAGAAGGATTCCAGGAAAAAACAGGAACCGAAGCAAAGCAGAGCGAGGAGGAGAAGGGAAGGGTGAGAACAGAGGGACCCAGCAGGAGGAAAGGTATCCAGGCACAAAAACCCAGGGGGTTATGAGAAAAAAACCAATTAGTAATATAATTTAGGTGATTGAGATTTAGCAGCAGAGGTGTGTGGCAACAAAGCAGGGGAGGTGCTGGGAAAGTTCAGTGAGTGAGTACCTGGAAAGTGGTGG